AGGTAAACTCGAACTCTCTTCCCCCTCTTATCCTCACAAAACCAGTTTTAGGCGGACTGAACAGTCCAGTGTGCGAAGGCTCTTTTACTATCACTTCAGGGAGTGATTTTGCTGTTTTTCCAGGATTTTACACGAAAAGTATTGGATCAGAGCTATTATATCATCCATACATATGTAGTTATACATACCCTGTCGGGAAAATCTCTAGTTCTGAACTGGTGCGCTTCTAGTACATTTAGACCCAGTACTGGTTCGCGATAAATCTCTTTTGCATTCAAGCAACTGGCGAATTTAACATGGCGATGTCCTAGGAAGTGTCAATTGCCCCCCGCTGTATCTCTTTTTCGATAGTTCTGAACTAGTCCTAAATTCTATAGTTCCGAACCAGTTCTAATTTCGACAGACGAAAGAAAAAAGTATCATGATTTTTCAATCTTTTTGGTTCTTCGGTGTGTGCGATTTTAAGTTATTTTGGAAGAAATGTGTTCTCAATTTGAAATTAAATTTGTTTGAATGATTATAAGAAATGTACGTTTACATACCTTTAGCTGTAGCTGAGTTTGCAGAGGTGCTCGCTGTTATTTCTTAGATTCCAGATGGTCCCAAGATGTTGAAATGTTAACACAAATTTTAGTTTTGTATTACCAAGCTATGAAAAAGCATCTGCGAAGCACAGAATAGAGGCGTATATGAACGAAAAAGCCGCTCAACACATATCTATGTAAAGTAAACAAGCCCCCGCTGCATCCCTTATTCGATAGTTCCGAACAAGTTCTAAATTCGACAAATAAGATCTAGTTCGTTCTACATCCCTTTTTCTATAGTTCCGAACCACTTCTAAATTCGTCACTTTAGATATAGATTTCTAGTGAAAAAAACTGATAAAAATTAGTATCACTTTTCGCCGACTTTGTACTGGTGGGGATCTAGTTCCTATCGGACTAGTTCCTTTTTGACGACAAAGACCTAGTACCGAACTAGAAATTTGATTCACTAGTCCGCGGTTTCCCTGCAGGGTACATATATGCACGTATGTTCATCAGTTATCAACGGTACCAGGTAAAATGATTTCAGTATTTTTTTAATTTACGCCTTGCTTTTTTATCAAAATAGACTACTAAACCTATTCCTAGAACCATCTACGGATATCAAAACTAGTTGCAACAAATGATTTCATACCAGTGATGGAAAATAAGTGTGCATTGTGCCATTTTCGGCCCTTCCGGAAGCAGCCCGCACCTTAAGCACAATATATATTTCTTTCAGATCCGCAATGAAATATTTTTTTTGTATACCTTCTATAGTAAGTGATTAAAGTGATAAATGATATAAACATCTACTACGTTTATACGCACGTATTATTTGCAAATAACAATGTGCAAAACGGTAAACTTTGCCGCATAAACGTTGAGTTAATTTTTTATCTGCAAATAACTAAGTCACGCAAATAAGTATTGATTAGCAGTATTATTTGCAAATAAGCGCAAGACTTTGCCATTCTTAAGGTTATTTTTTTATTAGATGGCCATATTATAGCTTTTTTATAATCAAGCAATGTAGAAAAATAATTTTTCACCGTCGAATAAATAGTGAGTTAGGTATTTGCAAATTATTTTTATTTGCGAATAGCTGACTTATAAACGCAGTAATAGAAATGCAATCAGAAACAGCGCACATCTACATATATTCTGCATATATGCTTAACATTTTTGTTTAAACAAGTAGCAATTTCATCACTAGAGCAAATTATGAAGCTCATTTTATACTTAAGATATAAATAATCATATATCCGGCTTAGATATTTTTGTGGATCAGATGCCAAGATATTTCTTACTAAAAAAATTTTAGAAAGCCCGAAATTAAAAATTTTAAAATTAATGCTTCAAAATTTAATGTTAAATTTTGCCACGATTTAAGACAGATAACCTCGATAATGAAATTTTGTTAAGCCGTTCCGGCTTTTGCGCCGAAGGTAGGAAAACAGGAATAAGCTGGCTATAGAGACGTGTGCTGCTCTTATACAAATACTACCCATTATATTTGTTTTGTAAGGTTATAATTTCAAAATACTTGTTGTGTGTAAGAGATGTGAGTAGGGATATTCACTTAGTTTAGATATACTTGTTGTAAGTTTTAAGTTTCATTATTGCTAATTGTTTTATATCAATTCAATGTAAAAAATTAAAAATTATATTCATTCTGAAAATTGCTTCTTCTAAATAAAAATAGCTTAAGAGAGCATATTATAAAATAAATAAAATGGTCTGTTTTTCTAATATCCTTCTGGGTGTCGGTCAATTTAGTTCTTATAACTCAGGTGTGGAGTGAACCATTCGCAAAACCAATAATTATAATGGCAGAACGTTTATCAAGGGATAAATTGACAAATGCTTTGAGGAGCGCAGGCGTGGATTTTCCTCAGTTTGCTACCACTGCGCAATTAAAGAGGCTATATCACCAGGTTGGCTTCGAGGACATGTGCGGTGCTGATGACACTACTTTTGCTGGGAGATTGGCAAAAAGCCGCGATGATGAAGCGAATGCGCCCCCCGCTTACGTACTTCGAGATATTGTTGATAAAACGCTAATTACTGCAGCTGATGCCGTTACCAATACTGCTAGTGGCGCTTATACTAATGATGGCGATACTGATGCCGTCGCCAATTCCACTGCCTCTGCTGCTGCCGTTGCTGATCCTGCTGCCGTTACCGATTTCGTCGCTGAAACTAATACTGTCGATATTGCTGCTGTTTCCAATTCCATTGTTGCTGCTGATCCTGATGCCGTTGCTAATTCTGCCGCTGCTGCTGTTACCGCCATCAATAAGGAAAATGTTGATACCGCGGTTTGTATGAGAAACGCTGCTGCTATTGTGGGAGGCCGAGGTGTTGACGTAAACTGCAATTATGATGACGACGCAGCTTTAGACCATGAATTGCAGAAGCTTAAGAAGAAACGCGAAATACTCGAGTTACAGCGACAAATCCAGCAATTAGAGGCCACAGTGTTTTCTCGTATTGAACGGA